CATAAAAATTTGAAATAGTTTAGCATGGTAAATTTAAAGCCACAGGGTCAGTATACACACATCATGTTGGCTAAAATATAAAGAATCACAACACTAAGTGTTGACCAGGATGCAAAGCAACCAACTGTAACTATTGTTGGTAAGCCTCTAATGGAGAACAACATTTCGGAATAAAAGGGATGGTAATTTAAGAGTAAAGACATACCTGCTCCCCCAACCCAGTAAGTCACCTTGGTGTGTGTCCAAGTGAAACTAAAGAACCTGGCCATAGCAAGATGGGAGGGGAATGTTTGTGGCAGAGTAGTTGATGGGAGAATGAATAAACTGGTGCATCTGTGCAAAAGAACCTCATTCATCTTGTCAAGAAGCAGTCTTTGAGCAGGGAGCTGGTGGCTCACACCTGTAGTCCTAGCTATTCAGGAGGCTGAGGTCTGAGGATCCAGGTTCAAACCTAGCCTAGGCAGGAAAGTCTGTGAGACTCTTATTTCCAATAAACCACCAAAACTAGAAGTGGTGCTGTGGTTCAAAGTGATAGAGCACTCGCCTTGAACAAAAGAGCTCAGGGACAGTGTCCAGGTCCTAAGTTCAAGCTCCACGACTGACAAAAAGAAAGGAAAAGAAAAAGAAAGGAAAAGAAAAAGAGAGAAAGAAAGGAAGGAAGGAAAAGAGAGAGAAAGAAAGTCTGTGGACATCACTTCAGAGATGATCAGCGATTCTGTTCATATGGTGTTGTAGGCCAGGCCAGACAATGGTGAAAAAGCCGCTGGGTTGGTGGCCTGTGCAGTGAGGGTGGCCATGGCCTGGTCTTCCTCACAGTCCTCACAGCCCGAAGCAGAAGCAGCCATGCTTATGTGCTGTATCCCCCCCCACCTTTCTTTCTCTTTCTTTCATTATTATTTTTTTCATTCTTCAGTGATCCTGCCACCTCAGTCTCCTGAGTGCTAGGACTACGCACACCCGCTACCGTCCCTGCACACCTTCCATCTTGATAAGCCTTTTGGCTACTTGGAGATGTGCATTTGTCAAACTTAACAGACAGTGCATTGCCTTGTAAATTTTGCCCCAAAGGAAGAAAAAGAACCTAAAAATACTGAAATGGATGTGAAAAGTCAAGGGAGAGAACAAACAGATCTTTGCTCTGAAATGTAGCAAAAGATGGAGTTGGAGGGCTGGGAATGGGGCTTAGTGGTAGAGTGCTTGCCTAGCATGCATGAAGCCCTGTTACGATTCCTCAGTACCACATACACAGAAAAAGCCAGAAGTGGTACTGTGGCTCAAGTGGTAGAGTGCTAGCCTTGAGCAAAAGAAGCCCCCAGAACTGGCCCCCTGCAAAAAATGGAGATGCAGAAAAATCAGATTAATTTTTTTAAAAAATGGGATCCATCCTGCTTCAGCCTCTGGAATTCCAGATGTACGCCATCATGCTACGTGTGTGTGTGTGTGTGTGTATGTTGCTAAGTCCTCAGGAATGCTTGTGTAGGAATGCTTGTGGTCTTTCACACTTGTATGATTGAGTACTGAACTATGTCTAAATAAAGTGCTGTAGGATCATGTAGGGGTTGGGGATGCTGCTCCATGGTAGAGCACTTGGCTAGCATTTATGAGGCCCTGGGTTCCATCCCTAGCCCTTGAAAAAACTTAAAAGCATCACATATCAGGTAATAACTACTCTGGAAGAAAATTAAGTAGAGAACAAGAATAGGGAGGACAAGTGGGGGATGAGTGCTGCAAAACTAAGAGCATGTAAACCAGCTGAGCCAGTGAAGGAGGGGAGAGGGTGAGCCGCATAGACCCTGGGAAAGAAAAGTCCAGGCTACAGTGGAGAAGAGGGGAATGCGCGGATGAGGCTGGGGAGCTGCAATGTGGGCCTTTGGCTCCTAGCTAGAGGGAGCAGGAATGACAGGATCCCATTCCCAGGTGCAAGAGGCCAGACTGACGGGGAACCACCGCGATGATGGAATTATGGCCAGACAAGATGGTGGTAGCTCTGGCCTGGGTGTGGTGGGCGGGGCTTAGGGAGGAATGGAGGGTACAGTGTGGTCAGATTGCAGAGCCACCTTGAAGGTGGAACCAATGGGATCTGAGGATGGACTAGGTGAGGGGATGGAATGGGAGAGAAAGGGATTTGGACTATTTAAGGTTTACGACCTAAAAGACAGACAGGGAAGCAGACAGTTGAAGTACCTTTTGGGGAAAGCACATTGGTTTGTTCTGGGCAGGTCAAGGTCAAGGTGAAGGTTACATTCAAGTAAGGTCAAGGTGGATTCAGTGAAGACCAGGCAGCCAGGGAGCAGGGGGCAGAGGACTGGAAGGCATCGGCTGCTGGTGGCAGATAAGAGGAAGACCAAGTGCAGCGCTTGTGGCTGGAGGACTGTCACCCCCTCCCAGTCTGACTAGAGGCAAGTGTAACCACGTCCTCAAGGCTACGGCTGACCCAGTTCTTTCTGCTGTCCTCAGAGGCTCTGATCACAGCCTCCTGCTCATGGTTTGTTGTGGTGTGTCCACAGTGACACAACTCTGCATTTGAGGAAACTGAGATCCCCAGGCCAAGTCTGTTTCCACAGTTTTATTGGGGTGCAACAAGCCATGTGAGTTGAAGCTGCCTTAAGTCTCAGCAGAACCGAGTTATTGCCAGCCAGAGACCTTGTAGCTGCAAGGCCTAAACTTTACTGTGGGACTCTAGAAGTTTGCTGATGCCTGCTCTCCCTTACATTGGTGCAAGAGGCTGTTTCATTACAGGAGTATAGCATGATATTTAAACGAGTCCAAATTACATAACACATAAATTTAGGCGAATTCCTTTTTTTTTTTTTTTTGTGGGTGGTGATTGTGGGGCTTGAACTCTGGGCCTGGGCACTGTCCCTCAGCTCTTCAGCTCAAGGTGAGCCACAGCACCACTTCCAGTTTTCTAGTGGTTTATTGGAAATAAGAATCTCACACTTTCCTACTTGGACTGGCTTTGAACCTCGATCCTCAGATGTCAGTTTCCTTTGTAGCTAGGATTACAGGCGTGAACCACTGGTGCCCAGCTGAGAGTTCTGATTTCTTATTATGAAAAGGTTACAATAGACATTTTCTGGTACAGGGGCTTGAGCTTAGGCCTCTGCCCTCTCAGCTTTTCTGTTCACAGCTGGTGCTATATATCACTTGAGCTGTACCTTGTCCGGCATTTTGCTGGTTAATTGGAAATGGAGTTGATTGCTTTTTTTTTTCACCAGTCCTGGGGCTTGAACTCAGGACCTGAACACTGTCCCTAATGCTTTTTTTTTGGGGGGGGGGTCCGGTCGTGGGGCCTGAACTCTGGGCCTGGGCGCTGTCCCTCAGCTCTTCAGCTCAAGGCTAGCGCTCTACTACTTGAGCCACAGCGCCACTTCCAGCTTTTTTCTTTTTGCTTATATGGTGCTGAGGAATCGAACCCAGGGCCTCAGGCATGCAAGGCAAGCGCTCTACCACTGAGCCGCCTTCCCAGCCCCCGCGATTCTTAAAACCGTGGCTGAGCAGTTGGTGGTTTGGAGGGACCGCGTGACCCGCGGTGGGCCGTCCCTCGCCCGGCGGCTGCGGCCCCGCGGTAGGCGAGGGGGCCCCGTCGGGTCGCTCCGAACAGTCCTGCCAGGCCGTCGTAGCCAGGGGCTCTCCGTGAACCCCGTTCTGCCCTCGTCGGAGCCGCCTCGCCGCCGGGGCTGATTCCTCGCGGTCGGTGTCCAGGCCGCCCCGCCCTCTCAGGCCGCGGCTCGGCTCGGGAATTCGAAAGCCCCGCGTTCCGTTCCAGCGCCTTCGGTTCTCCCGACTCCCTCGGCCCCTGGCTCCCTGGCGCGGAGCCCGCGCGCGGCCCGAGGCCGCGGTCCGGAGAGGGGAGGCCGGGCTCCGGCTCCCCACAACCCGCCTCACCCCGGCCTGCGCCGGACCGGCGGGTATGACGTCACGAGACTGTGACGCGCCCCGAGACCGCCCCCCTCGCCGTGAATCCAGGATCTCTGCGCCGTGACATCACGGGTCCGGGCGGGCGGGTTTTACGTCGGCCCAATGGGAGCAGCGCGCCGGCCTCCCCTTTAAGGAATGTTGTGACCTGACGTCACCCGGGCGAGTTACCTCCCGCCGCCGCCGCCGCCGGGCTCA